GGCGGTGGCGATGGCGGTGGCGGTGGCGGCGGTGGTGGCGGCGGCGGCGGCGGTGGCGGTGGCGGTGGCGGTGGCGGTGGCGGTGGTGGCGGTGGTGGTGGTGGTGGTGGGGGCGGTGGCGGTGGTGGTGGTGGTGGTGGTGGTGGTGGTGGTGGCGGCGGTGGTGGTGGGGGTGGTGGCACTGGTGGTGGTGGTGGTGGTGGTGGTGGTGGTGGTGGTGGTGGGGGTGGGGGTGGTCGGGGTGGTGGTGCGGGTGGTGGCGGTCAGCACCAATGACAGGACAATTCTTCTATCCACGGGTACTCAACCCTAAACCCTATACCCGCAGCCCTCAAACACTTTTGCCTAAAACCCTAAACCCTCTAAGCTCTAAAACTTATGTAACTGCAGGCAAAAGATGTGTGTCCCGTGCGCCGCGCCGTGGCATCGTAGCGGAACTGTGCAGCTCTTCTCTGCCTTGCGAGAATCCGTGGTGCGGTTGTTGATTAGGGTTTAGGGTTTAGGGGTTGCCTCTAACATTAACTCTTTAGAGGGCCCCGGTGCTCTATAAGCAACCCTTAAAGGCACCGTGAAGCAAGACCAACGGTTTTTGACTGCCATTGTAGCCTGCATCTTGGCATGATGGTGCTGCTTTTGTTTATCACCAACCTTGTTACCATAATTGTTGTGATTGCAATTCTTACTACTAGCCTTGTTATTGTTATTGTTATTGCTGTTGCTACTGTCCTTATTCTTAATTATAGGGTTTAGGGTTGCGGGGTCTAGGGGCCGTAATTGGAATATTTAGAATAAGGCTACTGCAAGTCGGGTTGACGAGGTATAAAACCCCGTCAGGCTCTGTGAGAACCCTAGAAAACCCTACAGAAATCCTCTCGAAACCCTAAAACCCTCTACAAGAAACCTACGAAACTCCTTATGAAACGTACGAAAGTCCTTATGAAACGTCCCCTTAAGGAAGGTAGCCTTCATTGAGCCGAGGGTCCCCACTTGCTGCAAGCATTCTTCGTACTGCTTGTAGGGACCAATCAGTGCGGACCTGTTGGGAGTAACAACCTCGGAGGAGGGTTTAGGGTTTAGGGTTTAGGGTTTTAGGGTTTTAGGGTTTAGGGTTTAGGGTTTAGGGTTTATAGGGTTTAGGGTTTAGGGTTTAGAGTTTAGGGTTTAGGGTTTAGTTGGGTCGGCTCTTGAAGGCTTTTTCGGGGATGTAGAAAGACGGTCCTTTATTTTATGTCAGTGAAGGCTGAGGAGTGATGGGGCCGATTTTTTCGACAGGTTTTTGGCTTTTGGGGCTTTTCCTCCGTAGAAGGGGCATTTCTTAAACAGAAAGAAAGGTACGTCCGAGGTTCGTTCGACCACCTGACTCGGGTTCAGGCCCTAGACGTCGCCAAGTCTTGAACTCAGTCCGAGCCGAGTTGCAACACGAACTCAGTGTTCAGTTAGGGGTTTAGGGGTTTAGGGGTTTAGGGGTTTAGGGGTTTAGGGTTTAGGGTTTAGGGTTTAGGGTTTAGGGAGGCTTAGGGCTTGGGTTTGGGGGGTTTAGGGACCGGGCAACCGATGGAACCCGTAGAGAGGCACCAATTGGTATGTGCCTAGCCCGATGGCATGGGACAAGTGCGTAAAGGAGACAATGCATGCCTGGACTATGTTCAACTTTACTGTCGCTACGTCGCTGCCTTGAACCACCAAACGCAAAACTCTACCGGAGTCCTATAGAAGCCCGAATCGCGAAGCCCGTCTGACACCACTAATGTAACGGCCTTAATTATTAGAATGGGGTTTTGGGGCCCATTATACTATATTTATAATAAGGAACCCCCAAAATAGTATAGGTACGTATTTAGGCCCTATATTATAAACCTCCACTTGCGATGGCCTCGATGTCCCCACGACGGACCAACCTGGGGGCCCGACATGGAAGCCGCGTCGCAGCCACTCCGGATACCTCGGGGGCTGGGCCTAAACCCTAAACCTTTAACCCAAGGTGTAAGCTCTGGAGCTTAGGGTTTCACTGTGCGGGATTTTAGGGCTCAAGTAATAGTATCGGGTTTAGGGTTTAGGACAATGGTATCTCCTGAAGTCACAGGAAAATTATACTACAAATAGATTAGAGCCCGAACCCTTTTTCAGTGCTGATGCGTGTTTCCTGTCACTGTTCGTCGGTCCCTTTAACCCTAAACCCTAAACCCTAAACCTTAAACCCTAAACCCTAAACCCTAAACCCTTAACCCTGGCCGAGCGGCTTTGCAGCTATGTCTGCGGAGCTGCTGCAGTCGACGATCACCTTAGGGTTTAGGGTTTAGGGTTTAGGGTTTGAAACTGCTGAGCTGCAAGGTTTGCTTTTTAGCACTCAGCTGCAAGGTTTAGGGTTTAGGGTTTAGCTTCATGTCCAAGGTTTAGGGTTTAGGGTTTAGCTTCAAGTCCTAGGTACTGGATTACTTTCCCAAATTCAGAATAGCGGTTCCTGATATAGGAACCCTACATTCCACCAGATAGGTGCTTAGGACCCTTTGGGGAGCTGCAAAGCTTTAGATAGAAGCCCGAATACCTAGCAATGCTGCTCCATAGGGCTCCGCTATTCTGTTGAAAAAGCACGATATACCCAGTCCGCTATTCTGTTGAAAAAGCACGATATACCCAGTAATGTAATTCTTAAACATACCAAGGATGCTAACCCTAAACCCTAAACCCGAAACCAAAACCCTAAACCATGTTATTGGAGTTTGTTCAGGCTTGCACAGCCAACCAGAGGCTCGACTTTTGGGTTGTTCAATGCCTGAACTCGCCAGTGAAAGTCCTAAACAAGAGCCTAACCCCAGAGACGCCAATATCCCTTAATTAAGGAATAGGCCTTA